ATTTTCTTTTACCGTAATGTTCGAAAAATAAACCCCATAAACGTTTTGCGAAAATATGAACTAATAATGATTTGCGACTTTCAAACTTTATTTTCTCTTACCGTAATGTTCGAAAAAATAAAAAACTTTATTTTCTTTTACCGTAATGTTCGAAAAATAAACCCCATAAACGTTTTGCGAAAATATGAACTAATAATGATTTGCGACTTTCAAACTTTATTTTCTCTTACCGTAATGTTCGAAAAGTAAACAGAAAATTTCCCTTTTCCTCCTTCAGGAAAATTCCCTGTGTGGGTTGCAACAATTATCAGGGTTACCATATTCTGGCGCACGTACGCTCACTTCCGATGTAAACAAATCCGCAATTTCGCCAAGTGCCGGTTATGGAAACATCCCCTCTGTTACGAAGAAGGATGGATCTCTTTGTCTGACTGAATGTACTTTATGAATGTGTTTACATAATGGACTGAAATCTGGACAATTACAATTATATAAATGACTACACAAATTAAGGCAAGATAAGCTAATACATTTAGAGTAACTGATCAGTTTGAGGACATAACTCATATAAGCATTTAACCGTATACTGAATATTAGAAGTCTGTGATTTTACAATCCACAACAAAAAACCAGCCCCTGTTACATCACTATCTAAAATTTTTATTCCCGAATCATGTCGCTTATTATATGTTGGTGGACAAGTACTCTGCTTGTAATTAGTTTTAATTTTATAGCTGTGAGCCATGTATGTATCCTCTTCAATTTTTAAAAGTACTTCAATTAATTTATCTAAACGCCTGTTAAATTTTCGTCTAAAATATGTAGTTTTTAATTTATTATGAAACGATTCACAATACATATTGGTATCTGTGAACGCATGAGGGAAGTTTCTATGGGCCATTGACCAAAGAATAGCACGGCTATAGTAATGTTCTTCAAAATATTGTATAAAAGATGGTGCAATAGTTCGAAACTTCTGAAGGAAATTATCCATCATCACTATGAATCGAGCAGAATTGGTTTCTTCAAGTAATACTACCATATTAAAATAGATTTCATCTTTAAGTTTTTGATTAGAAACCATTCGGCACAAATTACGTTGCCAAGCACGATGCACATGCCATTTACATAACAAATGTGTAATACCAGGACCAAATACTTTATCAAATGCAGGATGGGTAGTCTTATCATCATCTGTCATAAGACAATTGACATAAAGTTCCGGTATTACACATTTGATACTAAGGAATAAATTATACATTGTATCCTGGTCTTAATTGATTTGTAATGAAATGCGCTACAAACCACTACCAAACTCATCAGGAACGATTAAATTTAATAAATAAAAATCATATTGATTTGTTTTGTGAGTAGAATCAATACATAAAATCCTGGAGCAACCTTTAATATCTTTCTGCTGTTTAGTCTGCAATCCTAATGCAAAAGACTCATTTGTAGAAGAAAGTTCATCAAGCCCTTTTGGACCGTACAATGTTGGCTTTCCTTGTGGTTTATAAATAAGTACTGGATCATATGATTCTTGCCTGAGTTTTTCAACTATTGTGGCAACTGAAAGTGAATCATCACCAGGAAAGGAACATACTAACCGCTTTTTGTAAGTGTTTATCACTCTTCGTGTTACAAAGACATCTTTATCATATATGCCCTCCCTATTGTCGCGCAGTCCACTTCCATCTCTGATAAATTCTTGAATTTGATCTGTGGATACACCTAACTGTGCATAAGCTTTAATTTTATTACGGCAACTCTGACTAAGTTGGTGGAACCTGCTATTTTCAAAAGACAATTCATGATTATGATTCGAATAAAATATGGCTGTGACAAGGTGCGATTCTTCACAAACTAAAATTTTGACGGACACTTAAAGTTGGAAGGTAAAGTATCTTTTAGATTTTTTCTACTGGAAACAGGAACTTTCTTTTTATGCATTACGTTAAATTGACAACAGTAATAATGAAAAGTTTTATCATTCCTACATCTACTTCCAGCAGACTTTTTATAAGAACTGAATGTCTGCTTACTATGCGATTCTAACCAGAATTGAAATTCTCCTATTGATGAAAATGTAAGTTCTTGCATAGCCATCTCATAATCATGATATTCAGCCAAATGTTTATTACATTCATTATCAGAACAAAATATTTCCTTACAATCAGGAATAACACATGGCTTAGAATTATTATACAGATCTTTTTATGATGAAAAAGGTTACTGCGGCTTTTACAATCTCTCTCACACCGGTCACAAATATATGCCTTTGGAATACATTCAGCTGATGGTGCTTTGCAACATTTTTTATGATTGGAAAATGATTGTCTAGTGGAGTACGACTTCATGCAAACTTCACACACTCTGGGATATTTCATTTCTACAATACCTTTACAGTTACGTTTATGATTAGATAAGGACTGTTTAGAAGAAAAAGGTTTCTTACATTTAGGGCAAATCTTAGATTTTCCATTAGAAGCACAATTTTCTTTATCATAATTACTCACGAGTTCAATTTTATTGTTATTTTCAGATTTATTTGGACTCTTAGCACCCCCAAACTTAAAGTTTGAACATTCATTATCATCTTCAAAAAGTGAAATCGATGAAATGAATGGTTGAAAAAACAGCCGAGAGATCGAAGATCAACAACTGTAAGATCTGATGAGATGAAAGAAGCCGAGTCTGAAACAGGAGAACTAGAATAGGTGAGAACCTGAAAAGCAGAAGATTCAGAATTGAGCACAGAAGCAACAGAAAAATTGAGGAACAGATGCAATGGCATCAACATTATTTGGACCAATGTTAACAGCACTTTCAAGAAATGGAAAATCTGATAAAGCAGATGAAATGGAATTAATTGCAAGCTCAGAAGCAACTGTAACAGGATACAAAGAACCAGAAAGCTGAGAAACAGATACACTTGGATCAGCAGAAAAATGAGAAACAGATGGAGTACTGGAATTCTGAGAAACTGGTGCAGTGATGTCAAGAATACTCGAAACAGTGTCGGCTATAGGCTCAAGAACTGGAAAATCCGATAACAAGAAACCACTGGGATGATTATCCAAAGACGTGTTGGTAGAACCATATTTTAAAACATCTGAATAAAGAGGTTTAGAAAGAACATCAGGAGAATCCAACAATACTGAAATACTGGGATGGTTATCCAAATCAGTCAAAACACCTGGTAATGTTAAAGCATTAGGACGACTATCCAATGTAGTGCAGACATGCGAAACCCGTTTTAAAACACTTGAATAAAGTGGTTTCGAAGGAACACTTGAAGGAGCACACAAAACTGAAACACTAGAATCTGATAAGCCTAAAGTATCAGGATGACTATCCAAAGTGCTGCAAACAGAAGAAACCCGTTTCAAAACACTTGAATAAAGAGGTTTAGAGTGAGTACTTGAAGTATCTGAAATGACAGAAGCACGAGGATAATTATCCAAAATCGTGATAGGTACAGAAGGATGTTTTCCTGAAACAGTGGATAAAGCTGGAAACTCAATAGCAGATACAGAGGAAAAAGATGTAGCACTTACCTTTGGAAGGGATTTCACACTTCAAAACGCTCTTTATGTCCTTCACAAAAATTCTCCCAAGCTGTGCATTACCCTTACGGTTCAGATGCAATCCGTCTCTTGACAGACAAGTACTCCAATAGTACTCACCAGATCTGCAAAAAGAAAAAGCTTCTCGGCCTTTGAATGCTTCGAAAAGATTAGTGTTTATCCGAGCTAATTTTCTGTTCAGCTTCTTTAAACTGTACGGGTTGAAACCATTCTCGAATAAATTTCGTTCACGCGGGAGGACACCTGAAAAGAGAATGATCTTCGGGTTTAAACGCTCAATAACCTTATACAGACAATCATATTTATGATGAATATCATCCAAAGTGTCACAAGAGTTATTGGTACCAACGTGAACCAAAACTAACTCAAATTGATTGTCTATCAAGGTTATCTTGCGTGTCAACCTTTCAATCGTAGCACCCGGAAAACAATGAAAATGAACTTCATAATCCAGTAAATTCAGCAATAAATATTCTTTTAAATATTTTATCATCGAATCTCCGATTATAAGTATTTTCATTTTTCCTGTTTGCTTAGACAAAGACATAATAAAAATAATACAAATAACAAAACCAAATTAAGAATTAGCACGTGCAGAAAAAACACTCACCGACGAAAATGGCGGAATACGATTTCTATTTTTACTAGATTTACGTATTTGGCGCCAGGTCCAGTTTGGCGTGAAAAAGATAACCCTCCAACCAATCACAGCAAAGTACACTTTTCCGTAAACATTTGGGGTTTGGCTGTACATAATTGTTCAAACTCTGATTTCAGCCATTCGAAACCAAACTGAAACTATACGTGAAGGGAAAGTAGTAGTTATTATTTAGTAGAAGTAGTTGTAGTTATTATGATCAATAATAATTGTTGCCAACAGTCTAATGCAATGATCTGGGAAGTTCAACTTGATAAGTTTGTAGACAATCCCCTGTGTTATACCCTATCAAAAGCTAAGAGTTTACATATCGTTTGTAGAAGTTACAAGGTTAGTGTTAATAACGACAGGACCGCTTCTGATGTGTAGGCAGCTAGCATCATTTATTTTAAAAGTGGAAGATAAAAATAAAATTTTTATTATAATGCGAAAGATATAGACTTGTAGTAAACGGAATATTCATTCATAATAGGGATACGTTACTCTAATGAAACCCTAATATTTCGTCAATATCAGTAATTCGCCGAGTTTACAGATATGAGAGCTTTTAGGCATATTTTTGCTGGAATTGTTCTTAGTTCCTTAATTGAAACTTTTCTTTAACTTCAGATGGAATGTTTTTGGTGTTATTTAGAATTAATGAAAATGTATGTAGAAAGAAATGATATTCACAACTGTTTTGGCCGGGTAACTAGCAACTTGAAGAAACTTGTCGATCAAGGTTTTGCGAAGCTGTGGAATTTAATGCTGACAACCACATTACTTAAGCGGTTCTGATGTAACTGTGTATCATTTTACATTGCTTCTGACACGTTGTGCAGATGTGAAATCGTGCTTCAGCAAATTCTGAAATAAAAACTTACTATTTTCTTTCAAGTTCAGATATAATTTGCAGAATTGTTTTGCCATGCATACTTTACATAATATTAAAATAACTTGTAACGAGTCACTGTCTTCTGCCCCAATTCTTATTATAGCCGAGTTAACTAAAGGAACTCTTAATATCGAATGGGGCCAAGCAACAGGACTAGAAATCATTTCGAAACAAGGACAGCCGATAAGTTTCTCGTCTGTTTATTCAATATGTAGATTTCTTGCGAGAACTACTTCTGATTCTTTGTATGGATCTACAATATTGGAGAAGACTGAAGTAGATCACTGGTTAGAGTTCTGCAGTAGAAAGTACACTGTTCCAGAATTCAAAGAATGCTTACAGCGTCTTGATAGAATACTTTCTTCTGTGACTTATCTTGTTGGTGATTCCATCACATTGGCAGATATATGTGTGTGGGTTATGCTGTATGGAAATAAGCAATTTCTCAGCATGTTACATGAAAATAAAGCACCTGTAAATTTAAAGCGCTGGTACACTTTCCTTTCCAGTCAAAAACCTTTTAAAGTTGCATCAGAAAGATTTCCCCAAGTTCCAGAAAATAATAAATGTGAAAGAAATGAAACTGGCCCCAAAGATAAAGTGAGAACTGAAGATAAAGGTAAATTTGTAGATCTCCCTGGAGCTGAAATAGGTAAAGTAGTTGTTAGATTCCCACCAGAAGCTAGTGGGTACCTACATATCGGCCATGCAAAAGCTGCACTTTTGAATGCTCATTATCAGACTAGCTTCCAAGGTAAATTTATTATGCGTTTTGATGACACTAATCCTGAAAAGGAGAAAGAAGATTTTGAAAAAGTTATTCTTGAAGATGTATCTATGCTTCAGATCATACCAGATATTTTCACATATACTTCGGATCATTTTGATTATATTCTTGAAAAATGTGAAGAACTTCTTAAATGTGATCTTGCTTATGTAGATGACACAGATCCTGAAGTGATGAAAAATGAACGTGAGCAAAGACAAGAATCAAAAAATCGAAATAACAATTTTGAAAAGAATTGGTCGATGTGGGAAGAAATGAAAAAGGGTTCAGAGTATGGAAAACATTGCTGTGTTCGAGCTAAAATTGATATGAATTCTGATAATGGATGTTTAAGAGACCCAACATTATACCGTTGCAAAGCAATGATTCATCCACGTACTGGAAATAAATACAAAGTTTATCCTACTTATGATTTTGCTTGTCCTGTTGTAGATAGTATAGAAGGTGTAACTCATGCTTTAAGAACAACAGAATATCATGATAGGGATGATCAGTATTTCTGGGTACTAGATGCTTTGAAATTAAGGAAGCCATATATTTATGAGTATTCAAGATTAAATATGACTAATACTGTTCTTTCTAAAAGAAAATTGACATGGTTTGTGGAGCAGGGTATTGTTGATGAATGGGATGATCCAAGAATGCCAACAGTAAGAGGAGTTTTGAGAAGAGGGATGACTGTAGAAGGTTTAAAACAGTTCATTATCGCCCAAGGATCATCTCGATCAGTAGTGGTTATGGAATGGGATAAAATTTGGGCATTTAATAAGAAAGTTATTGATCCAGTATCACCACGTTATAATGCAATCGAGAAAGACAGCTATGTACCTGTACATGTTGAAGGTGCTACGAAACAGGTTCTTCAAGTTGCCAAGCATCCTAAAAATCCAGAACTTGGCACAAAAGATATTTATATTGGTCCTAAATTACTTGTAGATAGTGAAGATGCTGAATGTATGAAAACAGGTGACAATGTAACATTTATAAATTGGGGAAATCTTCTAATTATGGATGTTAAAAAGAAACCTGATGGGCAGATTGAATTAATTAAAGCTAAATTAAATTTAGAAAATAAAGATTACAAGAAGACCTTAAAAGTTACGTGGGTTGTAGATTCAGAAGAAACTCCTTTAATTCCTTGTGTATGTATATATTATGACCACCTGATATCAAAGCCAGTATTGGGAAAGGATGAAGATTTCAAAAACTTTATGAATAAAAATACTAAAATTGTTGTTCATATGCTTGGTGATCCTCAGCTCGCTTGCCTTAAAAAGGGAGACATAATACAAATTCAGCGAAAAGGTTTCTTTATATGTGATGAACCATATGATGTTACAACTCTTAGGTATACTAGTCGTGAAGGTCCTTTAGTTCTCTTTTCAATACCTGATGGATCAAAAGATACAAGTTCTTTACCAAATGCTGTGAGAAAACTTCGAGAAAAAGTCGAGAGTGAGAAAGAAAAACTGAATACTCTGAAAAGAAAAGCAGCAGAAAAGTCTCCTCAAGAAGAGAAAAAAAATATTTCTGTGTCTCAAGGTGACATTAGTATTACTGTAGATGATACTGGTAATAATGAGGTTGATTTTGCTACAAGTAGTATTTCGGTTGTCTTGGACTCTAAAATTAGAGAACAAGGGGATAAAATTCGAAAATTAAAATCTGAGAAGGCTGAGAAGAGTGTTATTGATACTAATGTTCAGTTGCTCCTAAAACTGAAGAATGAATATAAAAACTGCACTGGACAAGAGTGGAAACCAGATGTGAAATTGAGTGAGACTACAGAAAAACAAGCTAAAACTCCGAAACGAACAAAGCAGAAAAGCAATAAGGAAATTGATTCAACTAATTTGAAAGTTGCTCTAGAGCTTGATAAAAAAATCAGATCTCAAGGTGATATAGTAAGAAAGCTTAAGTCTGAAAAAGTCGATAAAGATGTCATAGATACAAATGTCCAAGAGCTTTTAAAATTGAAAGGAGAATTTAAACTTTATATTGGTGTAGATTGGAAACCCGATTTAAAGCTAGAAGGAAGTAATGCAGAACTCGGCAATGATGCCAAGGATACAAATGTTGCAGAAGTAAAAAATAATAATGTCATTGCGATTGAAGATGCTCATGTTCAAGAACTTGATAAAAAAATTCGAGAGCAAGGTGATGTTGTAAGAAAATTGAAATCAGAAAAGGCAGAGAAAAGTCTTATTGATGCTAATATTCAAATATTATTGAAATTAAAAGAAGAATACAAAAATTCTTGTGGTAAGGATTGGAAGCCAGACAGCAAACCAAATGAAAATCCAAGCAAAATAGCCAAGAATGCTAAATCGCACAATGAGAAGCAGAAAAAGCAACAGCCTTTGAAAGAGATTGAAAGTACGAAGAATAAAGAGCCTAATAATGAATCTGTAGAATCTAATGTTAAAAAAATTACAAGACTTGGACTTGAAGTTAAGAAAGAAGAAAATTTAGCAGATTGGTATTCCCAAGTATTAACGAAAGCTGAAATGATAGAATACTATGATGTTAGTGGCTGTTATATTTTGAGACCTTGGGCATATAGCATTTGGGAAGCTATTCAAAAGTTTTTTGATTCAGCTATTAAATCCTTAGGTGTTACCAACTGTTATTTTCCTATGTTTGTTTCATCTACTGCATTAGAGAAAGAAAAGACTCACATTGCTGATTTTGCCCCAGAAGTTGCTTGGGTAACGAAATCTGGATCATCAGAGCTTGAAAAACCCATTGCCATTCGACCTACCAGTGAAACAGTAATGTATCCATCATATGCTAAATGGATCCGATCTCATAGAGATCTTCCTTTGCGACTGAATCAGTGGTGCAGTGTAGTAAGGTGGGAATTTAGAAATCCGCAGCCTTTTATTCGAACAAGAGAATTTCTTTGGCAAGAAGGCCACACTGCTTTTGCTACAAAGGAAGAGGCAGAAAATGAAGTTTTTACAATTTTAGATTTATACGGACAGGTTTATGAAAACTTACTAGCAATACCAGTTATTCGTGGTAAAAAAACTGAAAAAGAGAAATTTGCTGGTGCTGATTTCACTACCACTACGGAAGCATATGTTGCAGCTAATGGTCGAGGAATACAAGGAGCAACATCTCATCATTTAGGCCAGAATTTTTCTAAAATGTTTGAAATAATTTTTGAAGATCCTGAAACTAATGAAAAGCAATATGTGTACCAAAATTCTTGGGGATTGAGTACTCGTACGATTGGAGCTATGGTTATGATTCATGGTGATAACACTGGACTTGTCCTCCCTCCTCGTATTGCAGCTTATCAAGTTGTAATCGTACCATGTGGTATAACTGTATCGCTGAAAGAATCAGAAAAAGATGCTCTTTTAGTCAAATGTAGTGAATTTGAATCTGTTTTGCAGAGTGCTGGCATATCTGTTAAGGGAGATTATCGAGATAATTACTCCCCAGGGTGGAAGTTCAATTACTGGGAGTTAAAAGGTGTTCCAATTAGAATTGAACTTGGTCCGAAAGACATGAAAAGAAATCAGTTTGTTGCAGCAAGACGAGATACCAGTGAAAAAATTACCATGGGTATTGATAGTGCACCAAATTCCATTCTTGAACTTTTAGACAATATTCATGATAATATGTATGATAGAGCTAAGAAAAGTTTAGACGATCATCTTTGTGTGTCATATAATTGGACTCATTTTTGTGAAAAACTGGACAAGCGCTTTATAATAATGGCTCCTTTTTGTGGTGATATACCTTGTGAAGAAAAAATAAAGAAAGAAAGTGCTAAAACAACTGATGAATTAGTAGATCCTGGAGCACCATCAATGGGTGCAAAAAGTCTGTGTATTCCTTTCCAGCAACCTGCTGAAATAATGCCAAATACAAAGTGCATCAATCCCAACTGTACCAATAGGCCAAAATATTTTACGCTGTTCGGAAGAAGTTACTAGCCGTGCTTGCTTATTATAGGTAAAAACATTAGGTTTTTTTAACTAAAACTGAAATTTTTTTTGACACTTTGTATTTAAATTAATTTGAAATTCCTGAAGCTTGCTAACAGGTATTTTATTTCTGTAATGATTAATTGCAGAGTTTGTTTTGCATACAGTTGACCATTTATATTTCAGTTTGAGTAGCATAAGCGATATTGAGAAAAAAAAAAGGGCTAAGATTATTACAAAATATAAAATTGTGCGTTTTTGGAATGAAATATGTGCGTAAAATTTAAACTCTTGCAGTTTCTACTTAATGTATTGATAAATTAGTGATTTTTTTTTTTTTTCCTGTACTCCAAATAGTAATAAACATTTGTTGAGAACATGTATACTATGCATTAAGCACAATTAAGATGATGTTGGTTATTTTGTGAAAAGTTTATATATGTAATCTTTAAAATACATGTAAGTTTTTATCATAAATGATAATTTGATGTTCAGCAGACTATGTTTGTAAGTATCTATGTGTTATGTAAAATGAGTATGTAATTTAGGTGTATGTTTAATGCTGCAGAGATAAATACAAGAGAATAATAAATATTCTTGTAGCCTAAATTTAACCATCTAATATTTATGTAATTTATTTTACAGATCTGTGTAATATACTATATAAAGCTAGTTCAAATTGTAATATATGAAATAGTCAAAATTGGTCAGAACCATCTCGTTGCAGAGGGATGAATTATTTTACCTGATACTATTGTTAATCACATGTAACATGGTAAAAATAAAACAAAAGACAGTGTGTAAAGCTCATATAAGTGATTTTGAGTATTCTTTAATATTTACTTTTGCTTCTTTAATATACAGGGTATCTATAACTGAACAGTGCAGTTTTAAAAATATATAATAAATTGGTTTTTCACTTTACATTTGGTAAAACCTACAACATAAGCATTGGCAACTGTCCAAGTTTCTCATGTGTTACCTACTGTTTGCTTATCATGCTTATTATGTAGCCACAGTGTCAGCTTCCAAGATGGCATCGCAATAAGAAAAGGCTTTTATGCGTGTTCCTTTTTTTTTTTTTTTTTGTATCCATATCTGTGTTATAATGCAGTGCGAGTTTCGTGCATGGTTTAGGAAAGACCCAACGCACAAGAATAACGTAAGTAGATGGTAAAGACACTTTGTGAAAACTGAATGCCTCTATGAAAGAATTCTGAAATTCTGATCAACCTCATGTGTCTGATGCAGATGTTGAAAGAGCAAGCAAGGGATTTCAGCGAAGTCCTTACAAATCAAGTGAAATAAGCAGGCAAATGGGTATGCCAAAGAATATGGTGTGGAAGGTATTGCATGAGGGGCTAGGTTTTAAGCTGTATAAAGTGGGATTATTGCAGGCCCTTACACCAGCAGACAAAATGAAAAAGGTGTGACTTTTGTGGAAAGGTGCAGTTAAAAATGGAGGAAAATGGTTTTGTAATAAGACTCGTCTTATGCAATGAAGCCTCTTTCCATGTAGGTGGCAAGGTGAACAAACATATTGTCTGTATCCTGGGAAAGCTAGAAACAACATATAGATATTACTTTAAAGCAAAGTTGGCGCAAAACTTAACCAGCAATGAATTCAACTGTCGGCAGTTATAATGCAAGACCGGGCACTATAAATATAATGGCACGGAATTCAACTGTCGGCAATTGTAATACAAGGCCAGGCACTATAAGTTTTATCTAGCAACCAAGTAATGTGCTCTCAAGAGGCAGAACATGCTTTGTTTTACAAAACTAAAAACCTCATCATAAATACATGCAAACTTCTGGTGGGAAAACGGAAGGGGGAAGTGACTGTAAAGATCCAAAACATAAAATAACTGTTACTTAAAATAAAGGAACCTTACCTTATACTTGGTTCCCTGATTAATTATCTCCTACATGAAACAGTGTAATACTTTTTTTTTTTTTTTTTTTTGTATCCTATACAGTATTATTTATATTATTTACTTTATTTAAATGTCCAAAACTGAACACGGTTTCGTAAACATATTGACCATATTTTTCAGCCTATAGATGTGACACTTCTTCACTTCAGAAATAAGGTTTATTCTCAAATTCAGAAATCAATTAATTTCATGTGGTAACAAACATCACTCAATTGCAGTTGGAAAAACTCAGAGTCGTAGTTAGGGTTTTCAGCGCCCAGGGACAACTGAAGATTTCGCGCCCCCTACTGCTTGCCAAGGATGTAAAACGTTTAATTCTAAAATGTTGTAACATCAGTTTGGGGCCCCTTCGATTCTGCGCCCAGGGACAGATGCCCCCCTCTAGCTACGCCCCTGGAAAAACTGTTTCGGAATAAAAAAAGTCAGGTAACTACAAATATTATTACAATTTTAAAGCATTGGTATGTAATGTTTTCGTATAAAAATGGTGTGAATAGCTATAGCAATATGAAGAATAAAAAGTTGCATTACTTTTCAAATTATTTCGTTTAACTTGTAATTAAAAATATTCTTTTTTTCCTTTATTAAAACAAGCTTATTTTTGTTGCCCGATAGTTGTCGTAAAAGGGCAAACAAAATAGAGGGATATGCATTTAAAAAGAGAGAATTTATAAATAGAAAGTAAATATATATGCAGGCTAGCTGAGGAAGGATGCCTTCGTAAAGGATTTTTTAAGAGGAATATGCTCAGATTCATATTACATGTAAAGAAAACCACAAAAGCTCCCCATACAGTCAGCTTAAACTACCAGTGTTCAGTGGCTTATCAATCCACCACTAGTGGATTCCAACAACTGTTTGAATCTTTCATAGAAATCAGTTATGACAATTGTTGCTGTGAATTATTACCATCGATACAAAATTTACTCATTATAATAATTTTATCTTTTAAATTATAATTATAAATTATTTGTAATAAACTAAGTGATTAAAAAATACATGCTTGTTAATAATATTATTAACATTTACATAATTTAATTCACAAAAAGTATTTCTAACGCTGTATTATTACTAGTGATACAAAATTTATTCATCATGTTAATTTGATTTACATCAACTTTAAACATTTCTTTATTTACCTTTAATAATAGAATCTAAGAAACTAAAGTAACATGTACTAACATTAAATGCATTATGAACTTCGGAACTACTCTTATGCGCCCTCAGGTCGCCAAATTTCTCACCAAACAGTTTTGGCGAGAAACTGCGCAGTGCCATATTACTATCTAAATTTTTTGTCTACATTTCGAACTTTAAGCCTAAAAATGTCTCCAAAAACGCAGTTTTCACACATGCAAAAACCACGTTTTGAGCACACAATTTAAGCTAAAAATCCAAAACAAAAAATTTAGATAGCAAAAACAAAGTTTATAACCAAAAATATTTGACAAGAATGCATGTACACAGCGATATCTTAAGAAAACATCTACGAATTGCACAATCTAGGCAGCGAAAGAATCTATGAACTACGCACACCTCCCTTTAATAATAAATTTCAAAGAATACCATGTACACCGCATTCTGTTTAAACTTAAATAAGCAACTACGAATTGCACAATCTAGGCATTGCTCACAAATCAACAAAATAAACTAAAATAAATTACAACGGAAATTAATAGTAAAAAAACAATGAACATAGCATTCTACAAAATAAAATGCACTTACCATAATACGTATGTGAGTAAAATTTCGCCAGTGACACGTCTGTCAACAAAAGTGCCATGATTTTGCTATATCACAAGTCTTTCTGTGATTCAAAATTTCAAAAGTAACGATAAAAACTTCCTCCAAAACCACAATCCAAATCTTAAACTCCGCTGACAGCCACATACTTTAGCAGTAACCATTTGACTGTAAACCCACACAAGTCTATCAGAAACACCATTCTTCGTCCGACGTCTCATATCAGCTCCGCATTTCTGGCACACCCAACTCTTTCAAAAGTCCTGACTCTCACAGAAATTTCAAAAATGTTTTTCTATCCACATAAACACACCCGTGAACAAAAGATTCATTAACAACTCCAACATCGTACCTTTTAATTCTTAATTTACTTTCGACACAATCTAAAATACATGATTGAAATCTTGCCACCATGTCTCTAAGTTTCAACGTCAAAAGGTTTGCCATACAAACAGCATCGACCACCAAACCATCCCACAGCACGGAATCGCACCAAAAACCAGCGCAGAACACATTGCCACATTTGGGTGATCTTAGGGTGCATATAGAGTCAAAAGTTAGTAGAGCCCTAACTTTTTGTAAATTTCATTTTTCATAACATACGACTTATTTATGGCTGTATTTCAAGAATTTATCTATACTTTAAAGTGTTGAAAACTAGAGAATGGCAGTATTTTGCAGTATACTTACAAGAGATAATTTTTAGAATTGTCATTTAGTCTAAATACATATTTTGTTGATGGGTTTTTTGACGATCCACCATTTTTTCCAGTTGTCCAATCCGGATCTGCCTTGATGACAAAATTTTGTTGCTAAATCAAAAAATCGTCAAAAGCACTAATACTAAAGCTGTTCCCTACATAGCCACAGCATCATCTTCCCAGATGGCATTGCAATAGGAAAAGTCTTTCTGTTTTGAGGTGCCCAGATCTGTGTTACAGTGCAGTGTGAGTTTTATACATGGTTTAGGAAAGACCCAACACACAAGAATAACGTAAGTAGATGGTACCGACGGTTCATGAAAACTGGATGCCTTTGTGAAGGCAAGAGTTCTGGTAAACCTCGTGTGTCTGATACAAACACTGAAAGAGTGTGCGAGGCATTTCAGCAACGTCCTTGCAAGTAAGTAAAGCAAGCAGGAAATGGGATATGCTAAAAAATAGTATGTGGAAGGTATTGCATATGGTTTTTAACTGTACAAAGTGGGATTAGTGTGGGCCCTTACGCCAGCAGACTAAGTAAAGTGGCGTAACTTTTGTGAAGAGAAACAGGTAAAAATGGAGGAAGATTGTTTTGTAGAAAGACTCATCTTCTGTGATGAAGCCACATTTCATGTACAGTCAAAAGTCGTTAATTCGGACACCCATAATACGGAATGATCTATAATCCGGACCTCAAAGCTAAAAACTTTCTGCGCATGCGCCGCGTTGGCACATGCGCACAGACGTTTTACGCGTGCGCGTAAGACCTTGACTACTGTGCATATGCGTGTGCGCAAGTGCAGAATACGTTTTCGCCTGCGCGTTTAATGTATAACGGACGGTGTAAGCTAAAATTATCTAATTATCTATTTCAGTTAATGTTAATGATTGCTTTGTTCCTTAATCTTCGAATTGGATCCCGCTTATTATTTTTTGCAGACTGTAAGAGCAATTTTATAAAAGTAAACTTGAAATTTCGATTATGTCAAATAGGATTTCCGATGCTGGAACTTCCAAAGGATCTACAAAACGAAAGTATGTTTCGATGTCCAACAAATAAAAAGTGGAATTGCTCCAAAAAATGGATAAAGACATGAAGAATGTGACAGAGAGGTTAGTGAAAACGAAAAAATTTCGATTGACAAGTTAGTCGGTATTCTCGGAACAGCAATTAACGGGACTTGAACAGCGGAACTTTGTAACTGAACAAGAAATTATGCCTGTTTATAGAATTAAGGAGAAAGTATTATCACATAAAACGAAGCAACTTAAACAACTTACATTGAAAGAAATGTTTAATAAAGTAAATAAATAAATATCAAGCTTTTTTTTTTTTTGTTGTAAATTTTGATACCCTTTAGATCATAATTGTTCTTTATTTCATAAATTACGGTTTCATATTTTTAATTTTAGAACTTCTGCATGCCATCTTACGAGATTTAAACTGACGATCTATAATCCGGAATCTCCCGACGTGTCCGGATTAACGACTTTTGACTGTAATTGGCAAGATGAGCAAACTGAGTGTCCGTATCAGGAAAAGTGAGAAGCTACATACACAGATAGAGCATTAGTGCGACTCTCCAAAAATGAGCATTATCTCTGTGGTGTCTTGCAGGAAAGTTCATGGCCAATTTTTCTTTGAATAAGAAACTGTGACCGGCAACTCATTTTTAGACATGTTGGAAACCTGGTTGTTACCTCAGCTGAACACTAATCATGATGATTACTTTTTTTAACTGAATGGTGCTCCTTATTTTCACAGGAATGTACGAGAGCTTAATCGTGTGCTTCACCAATGCTGGATTGGACATACTGCAACAACAGACAAAAGACTTCTTCCCTGGCCACCCAATTTGCCAGATTTAACATAATGCTATTTCTTTCTTTGGGGCTTCATTAAGGACTGATTTTAAGTACCACCAATGGCCACGTCCCTGGAGAAAGTTTGCGATTGGATAAAGCATATACTGCAGAACATCATGGTGGACATACTACACTCAGTATGGAAAGGATTCAATTACGGTTTAGATGTGTGATCAAGGGTGCATATATTGAAGGATTGTGATTAATGCATCGGAAACTTTGGACAACTGCCACTGCTTATGCTGTAAGGTTTGCCCATATAAAGTAATACATCAATTTATTATCAGTTTTTAAAACTGTACTATTCATTTATAAACACCCTGTATATTGTGTGTTTATATATACTCGGTATACATAAGAATGCTTAATAATGTATTCTCAAACTGTTTTTTTTTTTTTTTTAACTTATAATAAATGAAAGTAAATCTTTTCCATTAAGATGCATTTAAATGCACTGTCAATTTTATCAAATAAAATTTCATAGAGTGCCATTTTTAATTAGAATCTTTGTCTAATTTTCTGTCTATAATGTTTTCTCTTACTTAGATGTATATTTATGGTTATTTTTTTAATTTTTGTTCTTAACCCTTAGGACTCCTATGTTGAGTGTGGCTCGACATAGTATTTCTTACACCAACTCCTTTATCGAGTTAGACTCGACATTATACAGCGTATTTTCTAAAATCAATTTTTTCTTTCAAATATATTGTAATATATAAATAAAGACTAAATTTATTACGTTTGACCAAGTTAGATAATCTTTTTAATATTATTTTAACATATGTCGAGTGTGGCTCGACATAGTGTTTCTTACACCAATTCCTTTGGCAAGTTAGACTCAACATTATATACTCTTTTGCAAAAAAAAAAATCGAAACACCAAGAAAGACTTTTGTGCTAGTGATGAAATTTGGAATGCAAAAACATCTTGATCGAACATGCAAATGATCAAAGTTTCAAGCAAATAGTAGGAATTCCGATCATAGCATGCATTTCTAGTGCTCAATTCGCAAAGTATAAAACCAGTAACAGAGCCAGAAAATTTATCTTTTTTTGTTGCTGCCATTGTAATTCCGTAAAGAAGCAGCTAAACATGCCATCACGACGATATTAAAGACCTTACAGACAACTAAACGACTTCAAACAGGGTTGCATGAAGCTGGGTAATCATACCGAGCAATAGGCCGCGACCTGCAACGTACAGACACTGCTGTGCAAAGATGTTGGCAGCAATGGTTGCTACAAGAAAATTGCTGATGAAATGAAGGCTCTTGAAGGCTAAGGAGCGGAAATGTGAGGCAATATAAGCCAGGCCCAAACTGCCCCAACACTATCATTGTCGACTATTGTCTATAGCTCCCGTGGTACCGTCCACCAACTCACGGCGCTTGTCTGAGGCGGGGTTACGCTCAGAGAGGCCTTTAAGATGTTTGCCTTTGACCCTACAACATCGGCGGAGTGGTGTCGCAGCCAATCATCATGGCTGCCATCAGACTGGCATCCCGCTTAACTCTTGAAGCGAATGACCACTGTGTTTGTGTCTGGAAAGGACGGGGCCAGTGTCCCACCCAATCAGCCTTTGTTTTACAAAGGCATACAGCCATAACCCCTGGTGTGATAGTGTGAGGCACTATTTGTTATGACAGCATGTCATCTTTAGTCATCCGCCGTACATCTCTAACAGCTCAAGGATATGTTGATACCATCCTGTGGCCGGTTGCATTACCCTACATGGCACGTCATCCTGGGGCAATTTTCCAACAAGATAATGCCAGCATTTGCATATTCCTGAACTGTCTCCGTGCTTTTGATACTCTTGCTTGGCCAGCAAGGTCACCAGACCTTTCATCAATCGAGCACGTCTGGGGCATGGTAGGCTGAAAGATTCAGGTACCACAAAATACCGCAGATCTGGAGCGACAGCTAATGAATGCCTGTCAGAATGTGTCGCAGGATGACATTGGGAACCACACCTTGTCTCAACGAATTCAAGCATGCATTGCCGCCAGGGGCGGTTCGATCAACTACTAATTTTAACACTCATAATGGGTGATTGTGAGCCGTGAACAGGTGCTATAACCATGATTTTTTAATAATTTTATTATCTGTGTGTGAGCTATACACATATTCATTTTCAACAACAAAAAAACCTCTTCATTCATGGCGCTTTGATTTTGATCCCCCCCAAAGAGTATACATGGTAATTTCTAAAATAATTGAAAATGTTTAAAAGTGGGTTTTTTTTTTTTTTTTTTTCCCTTTCAAATTTTTTGTGCTATGTAAATATAAACCAAATTTATCATATTTGACCAATTAATATTATTTAAAATTCTTTTTAGTATTATTTTTACATTAGGATCAAAAGAGTCATTTATAGTGTGGTGTAGTGGTCGAACACGCTACCCGAAGCTTTTGTTGTTTCAAGGTTGAAATTACTCAAACTCGTGTTATAAAACAATAGCGAGAATTTTAATAAAAGTATAAATATGAGAAGTTAAGATAACATCAATCTGGTATGTGGATAACACTTAATCCACATAACAGACACTGTACTTTTAAACGGTTACAAATGTTCTGCGTTAAAACAACAGCATATTTGGAAAGATTAGTCCATGCAAATCTCTTAGCACAACAAAATACTCCAAACAGAACAATGCTACCTCCAGTATTCTCGGTGGACATGCGGTCTTCTAGCTTGGAAAAGTCGGCTCGTTGAACGTGCAGATAATAATTTCGAACTTCCGTACACACTCACTGAGGTATTCAGCTACGCTCTCTTGAAACAACTTTGTCCAAACCTTGACTTGAAACAACCTTCACAATGTCCAAACCTTGACTCCCGTAGCAGGTACAGTTGCAAACTGCACTCCAAGCCCTGTCCAAAACTCCCTTTGTCTGGGAACTATATCTTTGGAGGGCGAGATAAGGAACATCTGAGAGTGAAATGAGAGCCTTTAGTAGTGTCATCATAAATATGGGTCTTGTTGTTTCACCAGCTTTGGAATCATACTGGTCTCAAGCATTTCATTTGAAGATGTCATTTTTTAAAAACATTTTTTCCAAATATTTTGGTCATTACATTTAGAAGCAATTTCACCAAACACTCAAAAGACGAGGACAAGGATAGAAAGAGTGAGCAGCTTTCTGGATTACCTAAACAAAAAATTAGTGGAAAATTATATATCTCATGAAAATTTGGCAGTTGACGAATCTATAATCTATTTCAAGGGGAAAATTCGTTCTCATGTCTAACCTTAAAAAAAACCAACAAAATGGGGACTTTGCGTTTATGTTTTAGCAGATTCTAAGACAAGTAATTTATATGCATTTGTTCCATATTGTGGAAAAATTACAACAGATGGCTTAATGAAACCAGATCTTGATATCACTAGCAGAATTGTGATGCAACTCTATCGAAATTTACGAAATTTGATTCCTGAAGGTAAACGGTATCATATTTTTACTGTCAGATTTTATACGAACCCCACTTTAGGTGCAGAACTTCTAAAACCCAATTGCGTTCTTACTGGAACAATTATGACCAATCGAAAAGAATTGCCAGAAAAATTATATAAAAGAAACAAAATTAGCTGTTGGACATAAAATCGCTTATAGAAAAGGAAAAGTGTTAGTAACATGGCGTGACAAAAGAGTGGTCACAATGTTTAGTACAAAACAATCTTCTGTTTCACAACCTGCAAGAAAAAGATCAAAGATGACTGAAAATGCAAGTGAAAAAGAAATAAACAAACCGACTATCATGTTAGATTATAGAGAAAATTTATTGATAAGTCTAAGCAAAGGCTTTCGTGCTCCTACACAAAAAACCTGGCCGATTATCCACAGATGTTTAGATGGGAAGACTCATTTTATTTTTTCTCATAAAAAACACAAGGACTGTATGGTGTGTTCTAACCGGAAAGTCAAAAGAGGGAGAAAAGAAAACATTTTATTGTGATAAGAAACCCAGTCTTTATCGAGAAGAATGTTTTAAAAAATATCATACTTTGAAAAATCATAAATAATTAAGGGAAATTAATTGGTTAAATATATAAATTTATATTTATTTACTATCCTACTACTAAATATAATCGAAAAAATATCTGTTACACACTCTGCACAATTGCAATACAACCTTTTATTGAGACTTTCTTTTTTTATCTATTTGGTAAATGAATTAAGGGGTTGCTGGTTAGTAAGGAAAAAAACATTAAGGAGTGGAAAAGGTTAACGAAATGCATTTAAAAGTGTATGGTTTCATTTTCTTACAACATTTCCAGTAGGTGGTGGATGGGATACCATCTAATTTTCATTTTATCAATAAGCAGATTTAATTTCCATTTTTCTGGTTCAAGCAAATTTGGAAAATCTTTTTATATTTAGAATCCCATTATCTGAATGCAGGTAGTTTTATCTTTCAATTGCTGTCAGCTTCATGATCATTTCATTGAGTACTTAGAAATTGCCAATACATATGCTCCGATAGTTTGATTTTTCATTATGATATCTAAAATATTTATAGGTATGGTAGATTGACATCTCACTCCTTATTTCAGTCTAGAATTAAAATTTTCTACAAGACCATTTAAATTGCACTTCATATTTTTACATACAAGTGAATATATTTTTACATACAGATGAATGTAAACCAGCAGTAGGCAGCCTTTTTCTTTTTTAAATCATAAAGAACTGGATGTTAAATACTGTTAAGTTAGCTGATAAAACATTATTTTATAGGAGTTAGTATCTGTAAAACAAAATGCTTAGACTGATTTATAGATGTATTCAAAATTTATGTGCAATAATCTGTAATGTGGTTTATTGATGAGATTTCTGTAAAATTTATTTCACTGAGTATATGATGAAAAGTAATTCAAATATTCATTCGTTAATGCTGATCTGTAGTCATATTTTGCACATTTCATCTTAGAAAATGTCTTCTCATTGAGCACAAGTAATGTTATTTACTGATACTTGTTTATCAGAGAGTTTTTAGTTGAGTAGGTTACTTGGAAGGCATTTCGGTATAATTTGTCTGGATTCTTCTTCTGTTATTTGTTTTGGTATATTATTTCTGTGCTGATTATCACTTCCAATTGAAAGTTGGGAGGAATTTACTCAAATGCATAATTAAATGTATTTTGAAGTGCAGAAATTAATTTTGCATTTGTATCGAAGTCTGTAAAAGACTGCTGGAGACTGTAAAGATGTGCTATTAAGTTTAATTGAAGAATTAATTCACAATAGAAAAACCTTGGCAAGCCAAATTTTGTCTAAAAGCCATTAATCGAATGAAGAAATGCCAAGAACTTGCAGTGGAAAACATGAAAGAAGCTCAACAACGGAGGAAAACATGATACGATCGAAACGCAGTGAAAAGAGAATTTGCTAGAGGAGATTTAGTTCTTGTTTTATCAACGAATCGTCAAAATAAACTAGAAATACAATGAAAAGGACCTTGAAAAATAGAACAGAAAATTTCAGAAACCAATTATATTGTAAGT